CAGCCACCGGGTTTTCCCCTTTCTTTTTAATATATGGGCGCGAGGCAAACCCCCCTGTGGCGACCCAGCTCAAGCTCTCGGCGCCCCAGGCGAAGTCTAACTTGTCCGAACACGTTTAATTTAACATCAGCAAATTGTCTGAGGCGCGGGAAGCGGCCGCGCAAAATTCTGATCTCCGCCAGAAGGCGAACGAGAGGCTTCGGTTGGGGCGGGTACAGGTGGTCAAATGGAAACCGGGGGACAAGGCGTGGTTGCACTGTCCCCAGGTGCCGCTGGCAACCTCGTCGAAATTGGTACGGCCGTGGCGGGGGCCAGTGGAGGTCGTACAGGTCTTGCGGCCGCAATGTGTTCGCGTCAAGTGGGGGAGGCGCCGGTGGTATGTGCACCCCTCAAGGTTGAAACCATTCATCGCGCCGCCCCGGGGTTCACACGCACACACGCATGGCCAAACGTGTGAGGATTCCGCCGACTCCCCGGCGTCGCTGCGCTCGCCTAACTTGACATCAACTGTTCCGTCCCCAGGTGCAACAGGAGTAACGGGTCCACACCCACCAACCCCTCCCGGAGGGGTCGGGGGTCACTCGGCAGCGACGCCTGATTCTCTTGTACCCGGACCGTCAACAACCGTCACTGAGCGTGCCGGGACGGGCCCTTGTGACGGGCCCGCCGCGAGAACGCGCGCCAAAACGCGCAGACTGTTGTGAGGTCGGCCGTTGGGGGGCCTTGGGGACAATGGGAGGGGTGGCGTCCGGAGTGTGTATATATGTTGGTTTTGGGGTGTTATTCGGTGGGAGCGCGTCGGGTTATTTTTTTTCTCTCTCTCTCTCTTCCTGTTGTTATTCTTGTTAAGATTCTCTTGTTCTTGTTAAAAATTACGCGAGGCACACACACGGGGTTTTCGCGAGGAATGCACCTTTATTCACGTTTTTTTTGCAGCCAGGGACGGCTGCGAGCTGTACAAGGGGGGGGGGGTGATGTAGAGGTGTAATTGCGCATGGTTACGAATGTTGAGGTGTGATTATGCATGGCCACGGATGGCCAACAAACACAAGGGGCGGGGTTACGGCCGTACACAAGGGTGGCGCTCGCACCGACGTCCGAATGTGCATCCCCCACGGGCCCCCCCTCGGGGGGAGTCCTATAAAAGGTGATGAGCTCGAGGGCTCGAGGTCGGGACTCAGCTTTAACCAGAGAAGACGGAAGACCTGCTAGTGTAGGCCCCAGAGCTCCCCTGGCTCGCTGTCCTTATAAGGGCCGACCAGGGCAAGCCGGTGGCGTGGCCCCGAGAGCCCAGACGAAGCTGGTCTGGTGACTCAGGGAGCCGGGATCCCAGCTTAACCAAGCTGGGACAGATAGCCTCCCCTAGTCCCGTAGTGGAGGAATTGGTATAGGTTAGAGGGGTTAGCTGTCGAGAAATCCCTGTAGCCCAGTGACCTGTAATAACTGTGTTGGTGTAATAAATAAGTGTGCCTCCGATCCTGTCGTCAAGCCTCCATATACTTACTACACATGCAAAAATAGATTTAACTGCACATATTTGGACCATCTTATTTGACAGGCACTATTCTACTTTACCGAGTGTTGACATCCCCAGCGTTTAACAGCACTCTGCTCTCCTTTTTTGTATTTGGATTGTCAACCAACATCGGGTAAAATATCAACAAGATGCACCTACTGTTCTCTTTTAGCCCCGCCCACCCCCCCAACACGTTCCACTCATTGGCTTCCACATTCAGCAAACCCCCTCCCCCTTTCCTCCCCCCTTAAACTTGTATTTAAGAGCTTGACTCTTGGAAGTTTGCCTCACTTGAGACAGTAAATCTAGTTGTGACGGTCCCACCTGATGATGGAGATTTCTGTTGCCTCCGAAACTTCGTGATTTATTATTTTATTTCTATTATTTTTACCTACGTGACTTTACCGAAAAACCTAAGAGTAGGAACCACCTGGTTCCACCAGCCCACAGGGGATTATTGTGTCCGTTCGTCCGTCCGTCCGTCGTGCATCCAAAAATGGGAGGGGTGGGGTTGGGTCGAGAGGGGAGGGGCTGGGTGGGGAGGGGAGGGTGGGGAGGGGCTGGGTGGGGAGGGTGGGGCTGGGTGGGGGGTGGGAGGGGTGGGGCTGGTCACCCCGTGGTGCCCTTATAAAACTCAACGTTTAACCTACTCACGCCGGCTTGTGCCCGCCCTCACAGTCGGCCATATTTGCGGAATACCCACGCCGCCGCTGACCCTGGCCATTGACCGAGCAACCCGACGTTCCTACCAGCTCCCTCCGCAGGAATGTGTTTTTGGTTGAATAAAAATGGTGACTGTGCAGTCGAATAAAGAATCACTGGTTGAATAATGATTAATAATAAAAGTGTTTTCGGTTAGATTGCGTTATTTATAAATGTGTTGTAACCCTCCACCACAAGACATGGCCAAAAAGTAAAGAATGTGTCACGTTTACAAAAGACAAGTAGTTCATTACTTTAGCCCACCGGTGTGTTGAAGTGTGAATCAACATCATTTACAATTTTTGAGTATGACGTTTCTCTGGTAATTACATCCAGCATCATCGGGCAATTTGCCAGAATGGTGAAGCCCTCCACTTGCTCCCGGTCTTAAATAGACCATCATTTAACCCAATTAGGTGCAGTGATTTGAGGCAGAGAGGGGAAGGGTATTGTAATTATATAATAGACTAGCTTTACTACCCGGCTTCGCCCGAGACTTGGATTCTTGTCTTGGATTAATACACGGCGTGAGGGGGGGGGGGATGCGTGATGTCAGCAGGCACACTGCGTGACGCTGCCGCATGCGGGTGTCATCACAGATGTGACGTCACCGCTCACTTGCCGTGCAAAATATATCCATTATTGCGCCCCCCCCCCCCCCCCCCCAAATAAAATTAAAATCTATTTTTATACTTTTTGCATTGTGTACAGTCTGGATGCTACCCGCATGCCAAATTTCAAGTTTGTCGCATGTCGGGAAGTATGCTAAACATTTCGAACAGACACACATTCACAAATTTATCTTTTTTATATATATAGATTGGTAATTATTCAATTGTTGTTAATTAGTATTTGTTTCCCCTTTAAGGAATTGTAATATATATTGTATTTAATAATACGCTTCCAGGCCGCACTAAGCCTGTATCTGTCAGAGCGATGAAAGTAATTTGTATTTCTCTCAATTTCAATGGATTCTCTAATTAGTATTGGCCAGTAATAATTAGTTTTACACAACACTTCAACGTTATCAAAATCAATTGAGTGTCCTTGTTGATGTTCTGCCACTGCCGACAGTTGTGTTTGAGATAATTTAGTATTTCTTTGTTGTTCTTTTAGTCTTATGCTGATGTTACGTCCCGTCTGACCAATATAGCATCTGCCACATAAACAATTAATCCGATATACACCTTCTGTTAGTAATTTAGGTAATTCGTCTTTAGTGTAAGATACTAGTTTTTGAATTTTGTGTACTGTACTAAATCTTTCTTTAATGTTTTGCTTTTGCAAATCACGGGCTAATTTGTCAGTTACTCCTGAGATATATGGTATTTTGATTGTTTTAACAATCTGATCGCTTTCAGCAGTGTTGCTTTGCGTTCATGATTTGGCATTCAGTGCTCTGTAATGTGAGCATTATTGTAGCCACTCTGCCGTAGTGCTTCTTTAACATGTTTAATCTCTCTCACTAGACTTTCACCATCTGACACTGTTTTAGGCCATTGTATGAGTGTCTTGATAAGAGAGGATTTCTGAGCTGGGTGATGATGTTAATCTGAATTCAGATAGGCATCAGTGTGCGTTCGCTTTCGGTAAACGCTGTGTGTTATTTTGCCATTTAGACCATGTCCAAGCAAAATATCTAGGAACGTGAGTGTGTTACTCACCTCCATTTCCATGGTGAATTGGATGGCCGGGTTTTGTGCATTGAGATGATTTAGAAAATCATTAAGTGTATCTTTACCATGTGGCCAGACAACCAAAGTGTCTTGAACATATCTAAACCAAAAATATGGTTTTAATGTACGAGGCGAGTGCTCTTGTTTCAAAGTTTTCCATGTACAGATTTGCTACAGCAGGAGATAAAGGAGAGCCCATTGCAGCTCTTTCCTTTTGTTTAAAGCAATCACCTCTCCATAAGAAGTGTTATTTAAACAATGGTCAGCGAGTTTCGGGATGTCTTTTGGTAAACCTGTATTCTTTACGAGTGTATCAAGTAATTTAAGCGACTCGTTCACTGGAACCTTTGTGAATAGAGAAATCAAATCAAAACTTACCAGAATATCATTAGGGTGAAGTTTAATATCTTTAATCACATTCACAAGATGTTCTGAATTCCTTACGAATGAAGATGTCCTACCGATGTAGGGCTGTTTTGTTTAGTCATATATGTTGCTAATGTATATGTGGCAGAGCCAATTGTACTGACTATGGGTCGTAATGGGATGCCGGTTTTATGCATCTTTGGTGGCCCATACAGTCTCGGTGGTGTTGAGGCCCTTGGCTTAGTTTGGTTTTGCTCAGTCTTAGGGATTAATGCATTTGCAGTGATTGTAGTAGTCTTACTTTGAAAATTTTAATGTAGGTACTTTCCTCTAGTAAATCTTTAATTGTATTATCATAATCGGCTCGTGACATCACTGCAGTAGTGCGGCTCTTATCAGCTGCCAGGATTTGAATATCTTTATTTAATCGGAGCTCTCTTAAGGCGTTTGCTTCGTTCGAGCTAATATTTTCTTTTGCTACTTTGCTATTCTCAATTATTTTGGCAACCTCGTGTCGAATCATCTCTGCCTCGTTATGTGGAAGGAGTCTTACCGCTGATTCCACCTCAGCAATGATCTCATCCACTGGAATCGTGCGTGGGGTAACGGCAAAGTTAAGGCCTTTGGAAAGGATGGAAATCATGTCACTGGTGAAAACAGTATTAGTTCAGTTCCTTCCGGTTTTGTTTTTAAATTGTTCGTTTTTAGTAGGGAATAGTTTATTATGAAGTCTAGAAATGTATTCATTTGGCTAGTTTTTGTTAGATTAAACACATTATCAGCCGATTGTTGTTATAGTATCAATTATATTCCAATAATGCATGGATACACTATTGCTTATATCTAAGTGCAACTTGCCTTAGAAATTCCGAAATATATGACAATTCACTCCTGTTGTGCTGTATTCTCTCTAATTATAATAATTCGATAGCTTTGTGTAGTAGTTGGTTAGCTTTAGCATACTTTGTGTGATGTTATTTAACTGCGTTTGGTATTACCTTCGAATCTCTGCACCTTTTGAGGAACGCGAGTGAATATATCAATTTCATCCGCTTGATGCGGAGCTTCTCCAATTTCTGGTTTTAAGAAAAGTATCCTCCCCATAGAAGTTAGTCAGTTTAACACGTAGGCTTTCGCGACCAATATTATTCATAACACTGGTCAACACACTTTTTCTGGCATAAGGTATTCCAACGGTTTTAATGTAATTTTGGGGTGCTAATCCAAATCTGGCATCAGTTTTTGTCTATCACATCAGGTTTTTGAGATATCAAATATAGCATTTTCAATAAAAACAGCAAATTTATGCTCATATACGAATAGCTAAACAGACATCCATACAAGATAATATACAATAACTAGATTGACTACCCGGCTTCGCCCGGGTCTTGGATCCACGACGCCAGGCCGCCTTTGTCTCCCCAGTGAGGATGGTCACACACGACACCAGTTATGCGTTTGAGGCTGAGTCTACCTAGGGGAGGCCCAGGTCGGGTTGAAATAATCGTCACCGGTGGTGGCCGTGAGTGGGAATCGGCGTACGTGTTACAAATTGACTAACTTTACTTCATAGCCAGGCTACAGTGTACATTCTAGACTGCCAGTACACGCAGCCAGCTGAATAAGCAGGCTGCAGTCTACATAATAGACGGGCAGTACGCTAAACCAGCTTAATGACTATTTGTACAAATAACATTTAAAGAATCGATTATAATAACCAGGCTACGGTCTACATTATAGACTGCCAGTACACCCACTCAGCTTCATAAGCAGGCTAGAGTGTACATGATAGAGTGGCAGTACGCTCACCGAGCTTAATAAGCAGGCTACAGTCTACATTATAGACTGCCAATACACTCAGGCAATTTAATAAACAGGCTACAGTCGACATTATAGAATGTCAGTACGCTCACCCAGCTTAATGACTATTTGTACAGTGACCATTTAAAGAATAGAATGTTGGCGCGTTGGGTTTAAAAGTAATATTAATTGCACACAATGTGGTGGGGGGGGGGGAGTGAAGAGTATGTGAAAGTTTGATGAATTTACCTCAGAGTAGCGTGGTGGGTGTGGAGGCCTAGTAGCGTGCAGAGCCTCCGGCCTCGCCCAAATTGGCCACCCGGCAGAGGCAGGGTACGGGTGGCGTTCCCCCCCCCCCCCGCGCTACAATAATACTGTGTAATCGCTATTATTTAATTATCTACGGAGCGTATAATAGTAATTGAAGACATTGGGGTGGGAGGGGAGTGAAGAGGACGTGAAACTGTGATGAATTTACCTCAGAGTCGCGTGTTAATGCGTGCGCCTATTTTTAACGGGAATTAAAAATGGCGAATGCGTCGCTACCCGTTGCCAGGGGCAACGGCCGGACCAATCGTGTGTCGCAATGCAGGGGCAACCGCCGGACCAATCGTGTGTCGCAAATCCCTGACATTTCGTCCAATGAAAGTGCGTATGGTCCGGCGACACACAGACACACAGACAGACAGACAGATTCACGATTTTATATATATAGATAATGAAACAAACATTTAATGAGCCGTAGCACAAAGTTGTGAGAGTGACTGCATATCAATGTGAGTGAATGCATATTACCATGTAAGAATTGAATTGTGAAGATACGAAAAATATGTACAAAAAGGTCATTCACAATAGTGATGTTACATCTGAAAAAACGACCTCTTTGTTTACAATCTCCGATGTACAGCTTGTGGAATGTCTCTCATCAAAGACCAGCAGTAATCTGCCATCATGTTTGAGTCCCGTCAGCCTTGGTAACGTTCTTCCATAACTTTAATGTCTTGATGAAAGCATTCACCTTGCTCTTCGCTCACGTGACCCATGTTCTCTGGAAACTGGGCCAAGTGAATATGTAAGTAGTGAACCTTGATGCTCATTCTACATCCAAGTGCTTGGAAACTCAAGAGCAGCTCCTCCACAATCTCTCGATAGTTGTCCGCTTTCCTGTTCCCAAGGAATTCCGCACCACATCAGAGAATTCATTCCAAGCTCTAGCCTCTGCCGCAGTCATTTTTGTAACAAAGTGTGGATCCCTGATGAGTGTTCTTTTTTGAGGGCCATCAAATATTCCTGCCTTTTTCTTCTCGGCACTGAGACTTGAAAAGGTTGAACATATATAGCTGAAGCAGTCTCCAGTGTGATCAGGAGCTTTGAAGAATTGCTTCATTAACCCAAGTTTTATGTGCATTGGGGGAAATACAATTGTATTCCTATCAACCAGAGGCTCATTCTTGATGTTCTTGTCACCAGGCATCAAACTGATTCTTGGTGGCCAGTTATTTTTAACCCAGTGTTCTAATGTAGCCCTACTCTCCCAGTAGCACAGGAAACAAGGGTATTTGGTGTGACCTCCTTGCTGACCCAGCAGAAAATTAACCATTTTCAAATCAACACAAATTAGCCATCCATGAACATGGTATTCCAATCTATCCAGAACAATCTTGATGTTGGCATACTCTTCATTCATTTTTACAGAGTGTCTTATTGGGATTGAACCATATATATTTCTGTTGTGAAGTAACACACATTTCAAACTCCTTTAACTACTGTCAATAAAAAGTCTCCATTCACTTGAATCATATGCGGGCAGTCCCATATTGAGAAGAAGCCCTTCAACATCTTTACAATAAACAAGTTGACCATCTGAATGGAAGTACTTTCGCAGTGCTGCTTCTCTGTTACGATAAAAGGAGACACTAGTGCCAGGTCTGAGTAGTCCTTTCTCTTGCAGCCTGGAAGCCAACAATTCAGCAGACTGCTTTGGCAAATACAAATCTCTTACAAGATCATTCAATTCAGGCTGACTAAACAGAGACATTTTATCACAATCTGCATCAGATGGCGTATATTCGATCTGAGCATCATCATCTGTAGAAGCAGGTAAATTGAGGGATTCAACATCAATCTCTGGTAGCTCAGTAAATACAGGCACAGGTGTTTCCTCACAGTGCTCAACTGGTCGTCTGGCAGATGGGATATCTGGGTATTGTAAGTGTTGTTTGTTTTTCTTATTGAAACCTTTTACATTGACAAGGCAGAAGTAGCAGTTATCCAAACGGTTGTAGGTTCTCTCCAAACCATTGGCACACCAAACTTCAGCTTAGCATTTTTTCCTTTAGACCATGATCGCAAAGTTTTAACACAGGGATTACACACTTTGTGAGGAGCCCAATTTTTGTCTTGGTCTCCAAGTCGTACTTTAAAGTAGGCAAGATAAACCTTCTTGACAAAGGTATTGATGTTGCGCCTTTGATCCTGCAAAGTGAAGCTGCCACAGATGTAGCAGAAGATATCTGGGTCATTACTGCATTTCCTTCTTTCGGATGTTGTGGCCATTGTTAGATCACGCCCTGCAGAAGAAAAAATATTAAATAAATGTGGATATCTACATAAAATGATATTATAAACACACTATCCTAAAAATAAAGCACCATATTTTAACACTAAAGCAGTCACTGACTCGCAACAACTTCATAAGTTACAGAGTTAATTTCGGGTAAAATCAATGAAAATGGGGTTTGCCGATAGCATAAAAATGAGATGTGATAGAGCAAATCTGAGATCAGATTTGGAATCAGCACCCTGAAATTAGTCTAAAATAGCTGCAAAAGTCCAGGCCAGAAAAAAATAGTTGACCAGTGTAATAAAGTGTTTTTTTGGGTTAGATCGCGTTATTTACAAATGTGTCGTAACTCTCCAACCCTAGCCGACACGGCCAAACAGTAAAAAAATTGTGTCACGTTTACAAAAGACAAATAGTTCACTACCGAATAATGATGCTGACTGGTTTGAATAATGGATGACCAATTGCATGTAGGATGATTACTGTGTGGTAGAAAAGGATAGTGACGGGTTGAATAAAGAATGGATATTATGTGGTTGAATAAAGTATTAGTGACCGTGTGGTTGATTAAAGGATGGTGGTGTTTGCGTGGTTGAATAAAGGATAGGGAGTTTGGTTGGCTAGAATATGACCGGTTGCATAAAGGATGGAGACTGGGATGTTGAATAAAGGATGGTAAAGGATGGTGGTGTTTGCGTGGTTGAATAAAGGATGGCTGCGGTTGATTAAAGGACGGCTGCGGTTGATTAAAGGACGGCGACCTTGGTTGAGGTCCAATAAGGGACGGCGGCTGTGTTGAACCGAGGCAGCGCGCTGCTGGAACGACGAATGCGGTGGGATCGAGGGGGACGACGCAAAATGTTCCTCCTGTAAAGTTGTCACCTGTAGGGGGGTGGGGGTCGAGGTTGCGGGGGGGAGTTGAGTTGGCGGTGGTTGCGGGGGGGGGTGTTTGGGGTGTTGGGGTTGGTGGTGGTTGGGGAGGTTGGAGGGTGGGGGCGTTGGGGTGGTGGGTTGGGGGGCTTGGGGGTGAGGGGGTGAGGGGGTGGGGGGAGTTGGGGGAGTTGGGGGAGTTGGGGGAGTTGGGGGAGTTGAGGGGTTGGCTGGTGGTTGGGGGGGGGGGTTGGGGTTGTTTGGGGGGGGGGTGTTGGGGTTGGTGGGTTGGGGGGTGAGTGGGTGAGGAGGTGGGGGGCGTTGGGGGGAGTTGGGGTGGGGGGCGTTGGAGGGTTGGGGGGCTTGGGGGTGAGGGGGTTAGGGGGTGGGGGCGTTGGGGGGCGTTGGGGTGGGGGGCGTTGGGGTGGGGGGTTGGGGGGCTTGGGGGTGAGGGGGTTAGGGGGTGGGGGCGTTGGGGGGCGTTGGGGTGGGGGGCGTTGGGGTGGTGGGTTGGGGGGCTTGGGGTGAGGGGGTGGGGGGCGTTGGGGTGGGGGGTTGGGGGGTTTGGGGGTAAGGGGTTAAGGGGGTGGGGGGGTTGAGGTGGGGGACGTTGGGGTGGGAGGCCACGTGACCGCGCTCCGCCAATCGGGACGCGCCCGCGGGCGTGCGGCTGTGCGGACGTGGCGCTGGTTTGCTGGCGCGGGAAAACTGACAGTCGACGAAGCAGAGAACGCGACACAGTCCACAGAGAGGGTACTACACACAGTCTACACAGTCTACACACAGTCTACACAGTCTACACACAGTCTACACACAGTCTACACACAGTACACAGTACACACACAGTCTACACACAGTACACACACAGTCTACACACAGTCTACACACAGTCTACACACAGTACACACACAGTCTACACACAGTCTACACACAGTCTACACACAGTCTACACACAGTACACACACAGTCTACACACAGTCTACACACAGTACACACAGTCTACACACAGTACACACAGTCTACACACAGTACACACAGTCTACACACAGTCTACACACAGTACACACAGTCTACACACAGTACACACAGTCTACACACAGTACACACAGTCTACACACAGTACACACAGTCTACAGAGATACTACACACAGTCTACACACAGTCTACACACAGTCTACACACAGTACACACAGTCTACACACAGTCTACACACAGTACACACACAGTCTACACACAGTCTACACACAGTCTACACACAGTCTACACACAGTACACACAGTCTACACACAGTCTACACACAGTCTACACACAGTACACACAGTCTACACACAGTACACACAGTCTACACACAGTACACACAGTCTACACACAGTCTACACACAGTACACACAGTCTACACACAGTCTACACACAGTCTACACACAGTACACACAGTCTACACACAGTCTACACACAGTACACAGTACACACACAGTCTACACACAGTACACACACAGTCTACACACAGTCTACACACAGTCTACACACAGTCTACACACAGTACACACACAGTCTACACACAGTCTACACACAGTCTACACACAGTCTACACACAGTACACACAGTACACACAGTCTACACACAGTCTACACACAGTCTACACAGTACACACAGTCTACACACAGTACACACAGTACACACAGTCTACACACAGTACACACAGTCTACACACAGTACACACAGTCTACACACAGTACACACAGTCTACAGAGATACTACACACAGTCTACACACAGTCTACACACAGTCTACACACAGTCTACACACAGTACACACAGTCTACACACAGTCTACACACAGTCTACACACAGTACACACACAGTCTACACACAGTCTACACACAGTCTACACACAGTCTACACACACTACACACAGTCTACACACAGTCTACACACAGTCTACACACAGTACACACAGTCTACACACAGTCTACACACAGTCTACACACAGTACACACAGTCTACACACAGTACACACAGTCTACACACAGTACACACAGTCTACACACAGTCTACACACAGTACACACAGTCTACACACAGTACACACAGTCTACACACAGTACACACAGTCTACACACAGTACACACAGTCTACAGAGATACTACACACAGTCTACACACAGTACACACAGTCTACAGAGATACTACACACAGTACACACAGTCTACACACAGTA